TATTTTGTTTTTGGTGTATTTTGTTTTGTTTTTAGTGCATTTTGTTTTGTTTTTCGTGTATTTTGTTTGGAAGTCGGTTTTGTTTTTTATCTAATATATCTCAAAGGTAACTAACATCAGAATTATTCCTGACATCTAACTATACTTGTATTGTAATTAACGACGGTTCGTCTCTACCTCAGGTAATATATTCCTACATACCATAGAGCAATAATTGGTAATACCTCTTCGTGTAACTGTGTGGGTAGAGTGCCTGCCTGCCTGCAGGCACACGTCTACATGTCGGGAATGTTCCGTCTCGAGGTATTAATGATTAGAAGGTACGGTAACGTACAAACATAGATATGTAAGGGTAATGGAAATCTTGAGATTAATATTGAAGTCTAGCTGTTGACCACGACTCCGTTAAACAAAAGTATCCTATGTGTTCTTGCTATCCTCTGCGTCTCTACCAAATTTCATTTACATCCGTTCAGCAGTTCAGGCTTTAAACTTTCGCATTTATAATATTAGTATGATGAAGAGTAAATTTCTTCATTAGAGTCTTTTTGACTCAACGTCATCACGTATCAGTGGTCCGTGTCGCTGCCGCCATTTTTATCTGCTGCCTTTTTTGTGTAAGAAAACGTCCGTAGCAGTTCTGTCTGATTACCACCGTTATTGGTGACCAAATAAAATGTATTTTTAATTTACTGGACTAAGTCAGAATGGTTACGTTTTCGCAAAAAATATTAAGCAAATAAATTTTACGTCATTAAATTGATTTGCTTTTCTTACGATTCAAAAATTTATCGCATTTCAAATCCAAAATAATCCCGTACTAGATTGTAAGCTTTTATTAGTTTAAGATTTAGTGGTTGTAATTTGGATGTCAAGTAGGTATATACATATATAATAATTTATTACTTATGCTGTCAACTGTTTTCTACTTAGATTAATTACACAAATTGCTTTATCATTGAAGTCTATTTCTGTTAAATTCATTTATTATTACCGAGTTGTTTACATCACAATTTCTGGAATTGAAATAGATATAAAACAAAGGGTTATTTAAAATAAATTCGATTAGTGTGAGTAAATTTATGTTGCATTGTCATTTTATAAACTGAATTCTATTGTTCTATTCGCTTTTACAGCTCTTCATGCGCCATTGCACTTTAGTGCTGTAACAAAAAGTACAATATACGAGCTTTAGTGAAACATTGAAAGTGAATTTTAGTTTAATCTAGTTTCAACTTGTCAGCCACTTGTATTTGTAGAAATCGCAACAAGTTTTCTCTCTTGTAATAGTAAAACTTATGACTTATTTTGAAGTAGTACTTTAGACGTTTTGCTAAATAATTTCTTTTGTCTTCAAATAAATGTAAATCAAATTCTAACTAAGAAGAAATAATTAGAAATAGTTACATTATTATCTATCTATTTATTTATTTATTTATTATAAATACAGTACCATATCTTCTTTTGGTTTGTAAGAACCCTGCACATTCTCGTTGGGTAGTTACATTTTTATATATTTTACAGTGTATGTACCTGTATATATTTTTTTATCAGTTATTTGTTTATAAAATTGAAGTCTTTCTGCACGATTCATTGCAGTTATGTCGATATATGATACAAAATATAATAGCCGAACGTAACCATAAAGTGTTCAAGGTACATCCCATTTTACGTTCCCAGTGACATATGGCCGATGATGTTGGTCTACAAAAAAACGCCGCGGTCGACATAGAAGCGTTATTTATGCGGCCAATACACGATTTATTAGTCGGTGGGAAGCCATGAATCGGACGCGGCGCTTGTTCCCGTCCCGATATAACGCGTGATCCCGACGTCCACCGAAATATGGCGCAGTTTGCCCCGCCTGCGCTTTATTGTGGGGATAAATAAAAATCGAATCGATGGCAGAATGCTTTCGGCCTATATTTTAAGTACCGTTTTTAACATATAGTATGTTAATGTAAGTGTTTAAGCACTTGACTTGTAATCTACAGGATTTGGGTTCGAATCCCGCCATATACCAATGTGATTTTCGATTTTTCGAATTTTCATATGTACATAATTTACCCGAAGTTCTTACGGCGAAGGAAAACATCGTGATGCAACCTGCACATATCGGCGAAGAAATTCAAATATATGTGTGAAGTCAACCAACCCGCAGTGGGCCAGCGTGGTTGACTATGGCCTAGTCACCCAAACTTAAGGTAGGCTTCGAACCTCTCGGTGGGGACGCATAGTGAGCTGGTGATGATGATGATCTTAATGTAAGGATTCATAAATGGACGTTTCGTTTATTTTGTGTTAACTGATAAAGATAGATATAGTCTTAATTTAAGAAGTTATTTTATAATTAAATCAAAATTTACCGCCAACATTCGTCAGTCCATTCATATAGCTTTCTGAGTATAGGTAAGTATTTTTATAGGAACAATAATTATTAGAACATCATCGATTAATTTTAAGTAGTAAAAATAAGCTTATATTTGAATAAATTTTAAGTAATATTCAGGAATATTTTAGTCCTGACATCTGTACCCTACTGACTTTTGTATCCATTTTACCTTTGAGATTACAAGGGTTCGAATTATAGCCTGCGGTCAATTCACAAAGCTGTAGGTTGACAAAATTATCAAATGATTGCACAATACGCTAACCTTTAGTAATAAACAGCTATCAACTAACCTTATAATTGATCTCTAGGGTAATGTAAAACAGTAACAAGCCATTGCGGAGCATAATTATAAGCAATAGGTAACATATATTTAGTTTATTTTGAAACCAATTTTGGTAATTTAAACTAAAATTTTCGACACTGTGGTTTTAGAATGTTACTCGCCTATTTAATTTGTTTAGTTTATACAATTTAAAGTTTATAATAATTAGGAGACATTCATGAAAAAAGATAATTTGTACGTTTAAGGTATTTCGTATGGTATGAGCATTTTATGAGGATGAATCGCATGTAACAAGAAGGACGTTAGTTATGAATGTGGCACACCGGTAGAGGTAGACCTAGAAAGAGATGATTGCGTGAAAGATGACATGATCAAGATGGGAGTGATGACTGAGATGACGTATGATAGAGTTATGTGGAGGACAAAATCCTGTGCGCCGACCCTACGGGATGATGAATTTGTACGATCTCTATAAGAATAAAAATGTAAGTAGAAAGTAATTTCGAAGCAGAGAGTTCACTAGAAATCTATTAAATTGTGGCTAAACACACTAGATAGAAATAACTAAATTCTGGGAGATAATAAATCTAGAAACGTATGTAAAAATCTTAAAAAGTGAAAGTAAGAACGTGTGATGTATAGGTGCATTTTCTAAGTTGACAGCATTTCACACTTATCAGGATAACAAGGTAATTTGGTCGTAAACCGAATCCGGTCGACATCGGAGCTTTATTTCCCCAGCAATAAATAACAAAGCCACGGATATGGGTGCTTACCTCTATAATAATTCAAACGATTGCTGACTCGGTTCCTCTTAGATTAAATTGCAGATAAATTAACTTATCCGTTAAACGAATTTTACAATTTCGACAAATTTTAGAAAAGAGCGATTGCGAAAGATTTAAGTATAAAATTCTTCATGTTGGTTGAAGAAAACATTGAAGCCTTGGCGCTTATTGAAAGCTATCCTAAAATATAGAATATAAGTGTACTATAAGTTAGATTAAAAACTAATAAAGTTAACTTCAAGTTGAAGGACGTATGTTTTAAGACAAGGAATGATACCTTCAAAATTAAACGAAACAAGAATTGATAGTAGTGGATAATTTGTTAATATTTTTGTTTCAGACCGAAAAGCGGTTCGATGCTTCTATACAGTCGCAAGAAAGTGCGGTACAGGCGCGACGGCTATTGCTGGAAGAAACGGAAAGACGGAAAGACCACGCGAGAAGACCACATGAAGCTCAAGGTGCAGGGGACAGAGGTAAGACACGTATTAAGAAACTAAGTCTTTTATGTCGTCAAATCAATAAGCGTACTATCGAAGTTCTATTCCTGTTAACGTTCATATTCCGCAAATAGTCTGGAATATATTCGTATTCCACAAAAATTCTGGCAATTCTGGAAGTTGGAAATGTTCTACTTGCATATATTTGTACTCTTACGTATTAAAATATTTGTACAATCTTAATCGAAGTCGTTCCAAATTCGGTAAATCCCTCAACGTTTCCGTCAAAGTCCGTTATTTTATCTAGAGTAATCGATGAACGAACACTGTCAGCTAACGTTGTAACCTAGTTCTATGAATGTGTTTATTCAGGACACGTGTCCTTGAGGTGGTACTTATGAATGCTTATACTCGGGCAAGAAGGTAAAGTTTATCTTGGCAATTTGTTATCTTAAGGATGGTAATATGAAAATATAACACGATCAAAAAGGTAATAATTATTTTCATTTGAGTGATAAAACTCCATTCCTTATCCTATGACTCTTTGGGACTGATAAGTTTGATGAATGCTTAGATAGTTTTTTAAAGCAGTGAATGTATAGGAATTTAGTAAGGGTACTCGTATGCTAATTCAGTCGTCATCTAAATTTTTCCTTGTAAGTAATTTATATAAAAGTGGATATTCAGCTAGCTATTAATTAAAAGGTAACCAAAACTATTAACACATGTATTGCTATCATTTTAAAATGTAGGAATTACAAAAATAACTCCTGGTTGCACTGGATTCATTATAAATGTAAACGCTGACTTCATGATACCTTGTTGCGGTACTGGTATTGTGCCGATGATTGGATTACTTTGTTTTACATATATAAGCTACGTTACGAGCGTGTTAATGCAAAGGCGCCATAGTAACGCCGCAATTTAAAATATTTCGACACCAATTGGTAGCTTAATGATATTACAATCTATACTATTATAATAAAGCGCACACACACTTCTTTGTTGCCTAAGATGTCAGCAATTACAGCATATTTTTGAATAATTCTTTTTGTAATAAAAAGCCCTATATATTTTCACGCCATTTAACTTAGGGGGTAAATATTTTGGATAAAAACTCTAATGTGGGAAGGAGACCATAAGTTGCTGCCAACATCAAGGAAGTAAGGTTGTCATCATGTCGTCATTTCGACATTTGTAAAAGATAATTTGACAAATGTAAACAATAAAATAAAACTTTCATAATTTCATGCGGATGAAGTCGCACGGGAACAGCTAGTCGTTTAGTAAATTGCCTTGCAATTTTTTGATTCACTGTCTGTTAGTGTCCGATTTTAATTCGACTGACAGGTGGATGGTTTTTATGAGTGTGATTGAATTAAACCTAAAATGAATAAGAATTTTGGAGTACTTTCTGTAGTAACAATGTAATGAATTCCATTAACAAAGGAATTAACATCGTTATCTTGTTTAATTTGTAATGTTGGGGATCTGCATTAGTCCTCAATTGTTAATCTACTGTTAAATATTTTTAATGAATAGTGTGTTAGTTAAATGGTTCGTGTGCTAAATATTTTTTTAACCTTCAAGTTGTGCTGTTTCTCTGTCTTTACTGTTGCGTGGATTGGATTATTCGCAACTATACGTTGCATATTTTTAAGAAACATACAGTCACGTCACTAACAAACATTCAGACGTTTTCTTTATCGTATTGTTTGTATTTGTCTAGACATTAACAAATGACGCCGTTTTTACAAGAGTAGATAATTTTATTTTTTTACACCAAATGTTATGTACCCGAAATTGTAAGCAGTCGTGGAATATATTCTGAATTATATTTAATTAAAATGATAGTAAATTCTGTTGCAATAGTTATATGTTGTATTATAAATGAAGCTTTAGCATCAAACAGTGAAGAAAATCCTATAAATGCTATACTTCCCGAAGATGGCAGATTTAATTTTACTCAACTAGCAAGAAAATATGGCCACTACGCGACGGAATATAAAGTTACAACAGAAGACGGTTACATCCTAGGTTTATTTAGAATCAGTGGAAAGTACAGAAGGAAAAAGAAAAGACTACCAGTTTTATTAATGCACGGAATTGCAGATTCGTCAGATGCTTGGCTTCTAAGAGGGAATCATTCTTTAGGTATAACGTTAGCAAATTCAGGCTATGATGTTTGGTTTGGTAATGTCAGGGGTAATAGATATTCCCGGAATAACGTTAAACTCGATCCCGATAAAGATGTACAATTCTGGGATTTCAGTTTCCACGAAAACGGTTATTATGATCTACCAGCTATAATAGACAGAGTTCTAAAAGAAACCGGTTCCAAGAAGTTAAACGCTATCGGATTTTCACAAGGCAACACAATATTTTATGTGCTGTGTTCGACGAGACCGGAATACAATTCAAAGATAAACGTGATGATGGCGTTGGCTCCGATATGTTATATACAAAATGTACAGCTACCTCTTTCGTTTTTAATATCAATTTCACCCGCGTTGTACGATTTCTTAAGTACTTTGGGTTATAATGAGATAGGTAATGATAATTCATTATTCAATACTATAGAGAAAGTTATCTGCACATTGCCGGAGCTTGGATATAATATATGCGTTGAAAGTATTATGTTTCCTTTAACTGGATATGACAGTGAGGAACTCGAACCTAGTTTTGTGCCGATATTCGTTGGTCATTTCCCGACCAGTACTGCTTTGAAGACTTTATACCATTTTGCTCAAGTTGGATATCGAAAGGTTTTTGGACAGTTTGATTATGGTAGTGCAGGAAATCTTGAGAACTATAACTCAACAATACCACCGGCATATGATTTGAATTTAGTTACAACTAAAATAGTGCTTTACGTGTGTTTAAACGATAAGTTGTCGACGGTTGATGATGTTCAAATTTTGAGATCGAAGTTACCGAATGTTGTTCGATATATTGTAAGTCCTAGATGGATGTGCAACCACATTGATGACGTTTGGGGTAAGCACATGTATGATTACTTATTCCCATACGTATACGAAGTTTTGGAATCAAATTGAAGAAATTGCGAAAGATTCAGTAGTCATTTTATTAAAACGATCATTTGTAATAAATCAAATTAAATTGGATGTTTTCATATAATTTCGAGTACTTAACAAAGCTATTAATAAAAGTTAATTTTGTAATAAAAATATATTTCTATTACTTTTAAGAATCATAATTTTCTTCCTCAATTAACCAATTGACAGCGTCGATAATTTCAAGTTGATATCCGTCAGAACAAGGTCGGACTATCGTTTGTAGATAAAACTTTATGTCAAAATAAAACTGTAGAATTTAACTGTTTATTTCCTTTCAATCGATGGTTCAATTTACAATCATTTATGGGTAAACTAAAGTCTTATACTAAATGAACTCTAACAATTTTACCAATGTTTAAGTATGCTAAATGCTGCGCGAAATTACTACTAATTTTTAAACGAATAAAGTTACTGGCAATTAATAATTTTGAGTACTGGCTGAATCTGCATCGTGCATGACAGATGTCAAGTGACGGTTGAATGACAGATGACAGTTGTCTTTGAATGGTGGAAAGATGTTTATAAATAAATAATCGATTCGTTAATCTCCGTAAATGTTTGCGGTTAGATTGCGTTGTGCAGTTTTCACTAAAGATTGAAGGATGTTGTTTTTGATATTACACGATTGTTATTATCTACGATATTACGCCCACAATGGAGGATGGTTACCGTTCTGCCTTCGGAATTGAATTCTGCAAACTGCCCACTCCGACATACACAGTTCTGATGTCAATAGAAACGCGTTAAGTATTAATTACATGTAAGTTCGCAAATATGTAGCGGTGTGTCTGTTATCGGAGAGCGGTGGACGCGGATTGATGAATACACAAATGAAACCATTCCAATTAAGTGCGGGGGCCGAAGCGGTCCCGCTAATTGGACTCGATAACAGGCTTTGATGCATTTGCAACGTATTTTATTTTTCGAGGGACACGTTTGGAGATTCGACGCCAATTGAATTGTTAAATTCGGCGCAGATGTTTGTTATTACTTTAGCGGAAATTCCAATTTTTACTCCCGACAATTTTTAAAGTATACAATAAGCCCTATTTCCTCATATATGCGTGGTTAAAATTTTACTTTGTGTTAATTTTATATTAGTTATAATAGTTTAGTTTAAGTAATATTACTAACTATTTGATATTAATTCTCGGCTCATCTCCATATACTGGATTCTGATTTTCATATGAAGATGCCATTACTAAAATTACAGCTGGGCTTAAGCAGTCGAGTAAGCCTTCGGCTTAGGCTATAATTTTAAACGAGGGTATTAATGTTATCGACAATTCATTTGTTTAATCCAGCTTACCATAAATTAGAACCCTTTGGAATAATAGTTGCTCGGACAAATCTGAGGAAAGATTTAACAGCAAATGTTAGCAAAAATCATTTTAAAAATACACAAGACAATATTAAAGGAAATGATAAAATTAAATTAGAGATTTTTTAAATGAAAACACAATCAGCTTGATTAAAGACTTCACGACAAATACATTCACAGTCAAAAATGTTTCAGTAAGGATACCTTTTTTATTACTCCCCAGTATAAAACAACTTTAACCGTAAAATAATAGGTTAATCGACACTTTAAACTAAATTTTATTACTAGAAACAAGTTTTGGTAACTTTTATTTAGTTTGATGATTTCACTTCGATACGTTGATTCTGAAATGAAGTTTGTGCAAATTATTTTTGTGATATTAAATTTAACTAAAAATAGTTATGTGTTAAGTCAAGCTACGTCAATAGCAAATCAATTTTTACCAGAAGATGGAAGATTGAATTTTATGGAACTGGCAAATAAATATGGATACCCAGCAGTTGGATATAATGTGACTACTGAAGATGGGTATATCATTCGTTTATTCAGAATACCAGGTAAAAAGATTGCTAAACCGATGTTGGTCATGCATGGTATTTTCGATTCGTGTGATTCCTGGATTTTAAGAGGAAACTATT